GTCCCAAGCAGTGCAGGTGAGAGAAAAAAAGCCAGAGAAGGAGGAGGCGCATGTGGAGGAGAGATAGAGAATGCGGGACTCTTGGAAAAAGACGCATCTACTCTTGGTCCATCACGAGACATCCATCCCGGACACAAGCTGCATGGATTAAGCTTAATTGGGGATGATGTTGGAATCTCAATTATAGCCCATCTAAAGAGGCTCTCCTTTTCAGTTTTATACGGAAAAACAACAATGAGAAACTCGCTCTGAAGCACTCTTGTCTTCATCATAACTTGCGTGAAGGAATCCGACTGCTTGGCACGTTGCTCCACTGCGGGGAAAAGAGGAAAACGCAGCTGGATCTGAAGGTAAGAGGAGATCCAGTAACAGCATCCCAAAGACTTTTCTCAAACTGATTTCAATTCCTCTTTTGCGGATGCGAGTTAATTTTCCTCGGCGTCCGGTGAGCTGAGCAGTGTTTTTTTTTCCTTTTGTGTGGTGCTGCATTGCAGTTTCTAACTGTGAAAACCGCGAGAAAAGCTGCTGTCCCAAATGTGACTGGAATAAAATAATTTACAAGAGGCATAATGAACTGATAAGCGACCTCGTCTGATCTCCGGTTTTACGGGAAAGAAAGACTGAAGTGGATTATTTAAAGGCTGATGAATTAGTTGTTTCTATTTCGCAGCAGCATGGATTTTTTTTGACATCTCTTTGGCGTGAACAGCCCAGCAAGACATCGAGAGTTTTATTATAGAAGTTGAAAAAGCCCTGCTGGGTATAAGAGAAGGATAAAATAAAGGAGCCTTAAGTGTGAGAGTGCGGAAGCTTTTCCCCGGACCTCAGGCGGCTGTCCGCAGAGCGGCAGGGGAAGGTAAGAAAGGATAAATCAAACACCCACGCTGTGAACTACACCAGACCACAAAACAGCATTAAAGAAAAAACAAGCGGCAGCTCAGAGACAGACAGTGGGAAGGAGAGATGCGAGAGAAGGAAGGCGCCATGCAGAGGCTTGGTGCAGTGCACTCCTCCGCGGCGCAGGCTCTCAGCCTCGTGGTGTTAGTGCTGCAGCTGCTGACTCAGCTACCGGGTGCCGACTCAGCTCTCCGGTACCGAGTGGCGGAGGAGGGCCCATCTGACGTCAAGATTGGCAACGTGGCCGCCGACCTGGGGCTCACAGCAGGTACAGGAAGCGGGGACGTCACCTTCGCCTTGGAGAGTGGCTCAGAGTTTTTTAGGATTGATAATGTGACAGGTGAGCTGACAACTGGCCAAAAGCGCATCGACAGAGAGAAGCTCCCACAGTGCCAGATGATATTTGATGAAAATGAGTGTTTCTTGGACTTTGAGGTGTCAGTTATTGGACCACTGCAGAGCTGGGTAGACCTGTTTGAAGGTCGTGTTGTCATAACAGACATCAATGACAATACACCTTCTTTCCCCTCACCTGTTCTCCAGCTCTCAGTTGAGGAGAATCGCCCCATAGGAACTCTTTACCTGCTGCCCACAGCAACAGACAGGGATTTTGGCCGAAATGGAATTGACCGGTATGAGCTGATTCAAGATGGTGCTGCTGGGTCAAGTTCAACAAGACGCACAGCAGGAGGAAACCCCATTGCGAGAGTGGATGGAGGTGGCGACCGGAGGGGTAGAAGTGGAGATAATGGAGGAGGACCCCGGAGCACTGTGTTTGAACTACAAGTTGCAGACATACCAGATGGGGAAAAACAACCACAGCTAATTGTGAAAGGCACTTTGGATCGTGAGCAGAAAGACTCATATGAGCTCATCCTCAGGGTTCGAGATGGTGGAAACCCACCACGTTCCTCCCAAGCCTTACTTCGTGTGTCCATCAGTGATGTGAATGACAACAGCCCACAGTTTGAGAGGTCCACATATGAGGCAGAAATGGCAGAAAACGCTCCTCCAGGTACACCTGTCCTCCAGGTCAGAGCTTCAGACCGCGACATTGGAGTCAATGGGCAAGTTGAGTATGTCTTTGGAGCGGCCACTGAATCCGTCAGGCGACTCCTGCGGCTGGACGAGGCCACTGGATGGCTGAGCGTCCTTCACAGGATTGACAGGGAAGATGTGTCCCAACTGAGGTTCACAGTAACAGCCAGAGACCGAGGTCAGCCACCCCGCACTGACCGCACCACTGTCATCTTGGCTGTCCGGGATGAAAATGACAATGTCCCAGTGGTGGAGATCCGAAAGATTGGACGGATCCCTGTTAGAGATGGAGCAGCGTTAGTTCCAGAGAACGTTCTGGTGGACACACCAGTAGCTCTGGTACAGGTGTCAGACCGAGACCAGGGAGAGAATGGAGCTGTGACGTGCACAGTCGTAGGAGACGTCCCATTCACATTGAAGCCAGCTGGTGAAACAGCACTCCCACCCATGCCTGCAGATGAATCCTTTGACAGGTAAGCCAAAACAAAGGTAACCCTTACAGAAGGTTAGAGAAAGCCATTCCAAAGAATTTAATAAAAACAGACTGCTAGATACTGTAGAAATAAACCAGTCAATGTAATTTGGTTAACATTGCACTTCTTCTCTCCAGGGAGTACAATAATGGTCAGGAATCATAAAGTAGTCATGAAGTAATGATGCATTTTATATACAGCATTATTGAATAACCTGAGGGGGGACAAAAACAACTAAATCACATTTGTATAATTATGTGCCATTAAGCACCTGATTCACATATACTAGAAATAATTAATTTAAAACTGGTTATTATTCATTAAGAAAAATACATAATGATTGGACACAGGTTCATTAACATGTCATTTAGAAATGTGTCATTTGGTTATCTAATACACAGTCATTTATTCAGAGTTATTCAAGATCTATACATTGATTTGAAGATAGTTCTTGACTAATTTCTAAGAAATTTCCTTGTGAAGTGTTCATTTATGTTTTACTAAAACCTAATCATTTATATAAAGTATGTATATACATATATATTTTAAATCAGCGAGTGGTTCTGTTTTTATTCCATAGGTTTTTTTTAAGCTAAACAGCTGCTATAAGAATCCCCACACGTCTATTTAGGGAAGAAAAACCATCATTTCTAGTTTCCACAGAGGATTTAGAGAAGAGTGAAGTGTTGTTTCATGCAGATGTTTTTCAAGTACTGCCTCTCATTTACAAAGTCTAGTAGTAGTTTGAATGTGATACAATCTGTTAAGTTTGAGCATTCATTGATTGAAGTCAAGGGTTTTAGACTTTCAGTAATACTATTACTGCAGTGCTGCTAATGTCAATGCTCTTCAGTCAATTGCAAATATATTTTCTAGAGCTATTGAATGAAGGAAAAGAGGAATATACTGTAGGGAAGGCCATTTCAGAATAACACTGCTATTCTTTATGACACCTATAAGGCTGGTTGTTGAGTTGACTGTAGGGTTGTCCTTCTCTGAGACGAATTAATAATCATGAGAGGTCTTCAGCAAATCGATCAGTGGATTTAATTAAAGAATCAGTCACAGTTTCTCTAGAAATATTGTGTCTTTGCAGATAACTGCAGCCTTGGAGAAGGGTCTCTTAAAATGAAGTGTTTTAAAGACCAAAGCATAGTAGAGCTGAAATGATTAGATGATTTATAAATAAATTAATAGAAAATATCTATATCGACTATTTTGACAATCAAACATTTCAGTTTTAAAAAATATTTTAGGATGTCACCTTGGCCTCTGTGTGATTAAAACTGGGTATTTTTACAATTTGCTCACATTTTGTTAACATTTAATTAAAAATAAAATCACAATAAAAGAAACATCACAATAGCAACTGGCACAATAATTGGTGGATGATAAATATGTTAATTGACTTAAAAGGCAAGAGCACTATTATTTTGTTTGGCTACTTTGAAATCAAGATCTGTGTTATTTTTTGTCTAGCATAGCAAGCACATTCATGACATTTGTTTTTTGATCATTTCCACAGGAATAAGAAAAAATACTTCCTACATACTTCTGCCTTGCTGGACTATGAGGCCACCAAAGAGTACAGTGTTACCATTGTGGCAGTAGATTCTGGCAGCCCCAGTCTGTCAAGCAACAGTTCACTGATGGTGCGTGTAGTAGATATCAATGACCATGCCCCCATCTTTGCCCAGAGCGTTGTGGAAGTCCACTTTGCTGAGAACAACTCACCTGGTGAAAGAGTAGTCACAGTGTTAGCCTCAGATGCAGACAGCGGCAAGAATGCTGAGATGGCATACTCCCTGGACCCTGCTGGTAACGGGAAATTTTACATAGATGCAGATAATGGAGATATCCGTGCCACAGGGGTTCTTGACCGTGAGGAGCGAGAGAGGTATGAACTTCGAGTGATTGCCAAGGACAAGGGTACACCTTCACTGCAAGGCTCCGCAACAGTTGTTGTTCAGGTGACCGACCGCAACGACAATGCTCCAAAGTTTGTTCAGGAAATCTTTACATTCTACGTGAAAGAGAACCTGCTTGCCAACAGCCCGGTTGGCATGGTCACTGTGACAGATGCTGATGAAGGCGAGAATGCAGAACTTAGTCTGTTTGTAGAAATGGATGGAGTTGATGAGAAGAAGTCAGTAGAGAAGGTGGAAGGAGAAGATAGTGAGAAAGAGCAGGAAGACATGTTTTCCATTGACAACAACACAGGAACTATCTTTTCTTCTGCATCATTTGACCGTGAAAAGCTTTCCTCCTATACCTTCCGTGTCCAGGCTGTGGATGGAGGTGAGCCCCGGAAAACTGCCACCGCCACTGTCTCGCTCTTTGTGACAGATGAAAATGACAACGCCCCCTCAATCACCTCTCCATCCAATGAGTCCTACACTCTCCTTCCACCCGCCAGCAGTGCCCGTACCATAGTCAGGACTGTAACTGCCATAGACTCAGACACTGGCCCAAATGCAGACCTTCACTATGATCTGGTGGGGGGAAATCCCTTCCGACTGTTTGAGATTGGCCACACTAATGGAGTGATCACACTGGCAGAACCTCTGGAGCGGCGCCACAGAGGTCTGCACCGCCTGGTGATCCGGGTCAATGATAGTGGAGCGCCCTCCCTCTGTGCCACCACCCTGGTTCATGTCTTCATCAACGAGAGCTTGGCCAACGCAACCCTTGTGGATGCACAGGTAATTTTCAAATATATATTTACCAAACTGATTTCAGTAACAGCAAGTAAAGTATATCATAATACACTGAAAACACAGTGGATGAGTTAATAACATCTACTCTGCTATTTTGGTGTGTGCAGACTACTATTGTTCCACTGAGTTGATAATGACAGCTCATAATGACAGTGATGATATTGTCCAATAATGGCCACTCTGATAACACATTACAAAGGAGGTAGGGTGGAAATTGCAACTGATTGTTGCTGCTTGAACTAAACTGGTAAGAAGATTATTTTCTTGATAGAATGAGATAAATGCACAATTTCTGCAGTATTCAAAGTGTTGCAATTTTCTGCCCATTTTTGAGGAAATGATTGTGTCTATATTTATCCCAGATAAAGAAGCCCATTTCTCTTTTGAAGGCTATTGGCAATGCCTGCTTCTTTGTAGTTTGAATGTTCTTTGTCCAGAATGCATTCTTATAATGACTATGTGGTTAAAGTAACTGTTATTACTGAAGTGGTTCTTATTTTATGGTACATTGAACTCAGAGCTGAGAGCATTAGGTGTGCGTGTGTGTGTCTGTGTGAGAGAGAGAGAGAAAGAGAGAGAGAAAGACAGAAAGACAGAGAGGGTGCGTGCATTAGGGGTGAGTGCGTTAGAGAGGTAGAGAGAGAGAGGGAAGGATGGCCCTGTCCCAGTTTTGGCCTTTTAATACAGAGCAAGTTGGAGTATGTTCATTTGAATAGAAGTGTCTCTTTACTACAGGCCTGAATATTGATGAGTCCTCATTCTATCATGCAGCACTTTCTGAGCAGAACGGAAGTAGTCAAACTTAAAGGAAACTAACCGCAAACCACTATAAACTCTAAATGAATAATGTTTACAAGGGGAATAAAAGGGAATATGAAATATATGTGTCCGAACACAACCGCCATTATTGCATAAATCTGCGTGGTTTAGATTAGAGTTGGCTTGAAAGACCCACACTGAGACGAATACTTAATTGACTAGACTCAGAGACATTACAGAGATACCAGAAATAACACAAAGTCAAATGTTGTTATGCTGGAAGAAATTGTTGTCTCATTTCTGCCTTCAAATATTAAATCAAGTGGAACTTTTGCTTAAAACTTGTTCCATTAAGCTATAAATGCTGGCAGGTACCAATTCCTAAAACGTGGTCTGTTGTGTGGGCAAAGTCATTAGTATTGACTAATAATTAAATTGCCTGAGTGCCTTGTGTTTACAGTGCTTGCACTGAAACCAACAGCCTGTGGTTTGAAACATGGTTTAGAAGACATTCTCAATTTTTTCTGAGGAAAAGGTGACTTCAACTGTCAGGTCTGTGCATGTTTCATGAAGTAAACAGTGTGAGCTAAAGTTAGCTCTGAGACATTCGAGAGAGAAAAACAGTCAAGACTGATAAGAAGCAGAAATCTACAATAACACTGTGCTGTGTGTGCCTCTTGAGTTCTTGGTATCCTTGTTTGGAATTAAACTAAATCCTAATCCTGTGTTTTTGGACAGAGAAAAACACATCCTATATAATTACATCCTGATTGTTTATGGAGGATACAACTTGGTGTTGAATCAAGTGAGAACAAATAGAAGCTGTCGTATTTGAGCCATAGCCAGTATGTAGAACACCTTGTGAATGTAACACTGTCACTTAAGAGCAGAATGAAAAGTACAAATTGAACAATCAAGGGGGTGAGGATTAGAACAGAGCACTTGGTAAGCGGGGGAACAATGGTGTTGACAGGTTGAATTAACTGCAATGTGCCTAAATGACCGGGGCCATTGAATTGAACAAAAGGGTGTAATATGTCCAAGCCAGTATAAAAGGCGTCTTTGATTACAATATGCATAGTTTAGTTTGATTGTAGGGAGGAACTTGGCGCAGTAGTTGAGTAGAAGTCATTGAAGAGAGAATACCTCCATCTCATAATGAAGTCAAACTGAGCAGTGGATGGATGCCAGATGTAATTAGGGAAGGAAAACGTCTGCTACTGCTGCAGCACTGCGGCACAAAATGACTCCGGTCTTTTCCATCCAACAATACTGGGTGAACCACATGTTGGATAATGAACCACAATATGATACCTTAGAGTTTAGGCTGGAGGAAGAAGGAACAGAAACAGTTGATGTCAATTGGAAAACTTAAAGGACTTTGTACACCATAAATACACTGTACTGTGAATCTCATTAAAGCACTTAATGGTGATTAAAATATTCCCTTTCTTACAGTTGGTATTTCAAGAGTTTTCTTATCTTGAGATACTAAATAATGTGCTGCTTATTTTTAAATATGCACAGACAGCTTTTTAGGAATTTGAGTAATATATAATTACTTAACTGCAGCTTTCTGTTGTCGCGCTGAGCTGTGAATACATTGAGGAACAACTAGGATCAGTCACTCGGGTCAATAATGTGGTCAGGGAAGAACTCCTTGTATTGGTCGCTGCATTGGCATCTTCAGTGACATGCAGATAAGGGAGCCCTTGGAGAGCCGAGCAGATAGATGGTGGTGTTAAGCCGAACCGGAACAAAGCTCATGCAGCAGAATGGAAGATTCCTCTGAGAGTTAGGGATGCGTCAGAGGGATGCACTCGAACACGGCCGTAGAGTTGGCTGCTCAGTTTTCTGGCTGAACACTTAACTGTCTTGTGTGGGCCGATACACACATTCAGTATACAGACCTGCAGGTGGACAGCAAAACATAGCTAGCACTCAGCATCTGACGTATTGACTAACATCCATAAACCTTTCACTTTCTAAAGCTTCTCTTTGTCACATCTGACTGCACACACACTCCCAAAAAACACACACAAACTGGGCTTTACATTCAGATACACTGTAAAAAAAAAACTCGTAAAAAAACGGTCAAAGTACTGGCAGCAGCGGCTGCCAAACAAAAACCCTTAAATTAAAGTAAAATACTTTAACTGAAATAAAGTGAATAAGCCATTAATTTACGGGAATTGTCCTTCAAGATTTTACAGGAAAACACTGTAATCTTACAGATTTATACTCTCTTTTTACAGTCAATAACCTTAAATAAAAGTACATCACTCATACTTCTACAGGCAAATACTCTAATTTTATAGATGTATCCTCTCTTTTTACAGTCAATAACATTTAATAAAAGTACAGCACTAAAACTTCTACGGGCAAAAAACCCGTAAAAAAACGGTCAAATGACTGGCAGCAGCGGCTGCCAAACAAAAAACATTAAATTAAAGTAAAAATACATTAACTGAAATAAAGTGCAAAAGCAATTAGTATACAGAAATTGTCCTTAAAGATTTTAGAGGAAACTTTCCTCTCTTTTCAAAATCCATTGTCTTAAAATGTTACATTAAAATACCTTAAATAAAGTTCTGATGAGAAAAACAGTTTACATTTTTTTTATTAGATTTGTATGATCAAACACTAAAATAAATACAGAACCTAAAGTTAGAATACTGTTATCTTACATCTTTTTTCTAACATTTTCCAATCAAACAGGTTCAACAAAATGACATCACAAAATGTTCTGTAGGAAACAATTACTCTGAAAACTTAAAATGAGTGCTGTCAAAATTATCGCGTTAACGGCGTTAAATATTTTTTTTTAATTAATTGCGTTAAAATATTTAACGCATTTAACGCATGTGCAGAATGGCCCGCCCCATACGTGCCACCAGTGGCAGCGCCAGGGTATGGCTGGGGTAGGCTACACCCATACCAAGAAATGGCTTAGCCCCACCATGAAAAATGATGTTAAAGTAAGCAAAATAAAGTCTGCCAACTCGCGGAGTAAATTGCACAGACAGCAGTTAGTAAGATTGATTTCAGTAGCCACGGTTTTGAAAACTTTTGTCATGTAGTGATCGTCTTCTCAATAGAACATCTTTGATAACGGCGTGGTGTTGTTGCAGGAAGTCCCGACGGAGAATACTTTTGCTGTAGTACAGGGGTGCACATAACTGGTACGCAGGTTATGTGCGTAATCTGAAATGCGTACCGTCACTTGTGTCACAAAGCGCATTTGCTTACCGACGTACTTGTGAAGCTTTTCCAGAAGGCGGTTAGATCACCGGACGAGAGTCGGTCTCCGTGTGCACAGACAGGGCTGCTGTTAACGTCGGTCTGTACAACGGAATTGTGCCCAAACTACGCCAACCGGCTGCGGAGGGAGACTCCCCCCCCCTTCACTGGAGAACTGCGCTAAAACAGCTGATCACAACGTTCACACTTTGTGGTCACGAAGTACTCCACTAGCCGCCCCTGTAGGATAATGAATATTGGCTGCAAAAAACTTGAGGCCCAATCATGTTTCCTTTGTCCATTCTGCGCTACTGTAGACATGGCAGTGCAACCTAGAGGACAAACCGATCAGAATCAGAAACGGGTTTATTGCCAGGTAGGTTCACACGTACGAGGAATTTGACTAGGTGTCGTGCACCACGACACCTGGACACACGACATACAAATAAAAAAAATTAAAAAGTACACAGATAGCGAACTATATTAAGAACACTGTAATAAAAATATAGTAAGATAGAAATAAAATAAAGCAGTAACTTACATCGAAATAGAATGCAATAAATTATAGAATATAAAATATGTGCAGTAAGCAATATTTAAACATTGCATTATTTACCATCCTGTGATCTCCATTATGTAATGCATAGAGTCTGCGTTGTGGCTGAGGTAAAGTGTCAGTGGGGGGGGGGGCCTTGTTGAGGTGGCGAGAGGTTCTGGTCCTGATGGAGAGAGGTTCTGGTCCTGATGGAGAGAGGTGTTGGTCCTGATGGAGAGAGGTTTTGGTCCTGATGGAGAGAGGTTTTGGTCCTGATGGAGAGAGGTTTTGGTCCTGATGGAGAGAGGTTCTGGTCCTGATGGAGAGGGGTTCTGGTCCTAATGGAGAGAGGTGTTGGTCCTGATGGAGAGAGGTGTTGGTCCTGATGGAGAGAGGTTCTGGTCCTGAGGGAGAGAGGTGTTGGTCCTGATGGAGCGCAGCCTCCAGCCAGAGGGTTGTGTTGAAGGCAGAGCTGAAGTCCACAAACAGGATCCTGGCGTAGGTTCCTGCTGTGTCCAGATGCTGGAGGAGGAAGTGAAGTGATAACTATTAGTAAACCATAATGATGGATGTTATTATCAGCAGCTGCCAATAGATCCCCTACATCTTGTATGATGGACCTTTGAAGCACAAGCACGCACTATTGTGGGAACAATCAAACGCACCCTCCCAGGCACTGCGTGTTAGCGAAGTACAACTGAGATTTCGAAGAGGAAGATATGCTTGGTCAATTCTTAATAAAAAATAAAAACCAACAAATTGAGCACTTGAGTTTTCATTAGCAGCGCCTAGCTACAGCTGCGGAGCTTTAGTAAATACCGCTAACAGTCTATTTCCTTAAAATGGTACATATCGCTGAATCTATATTTTTATCTTCAGGTGATGAAATCTGCATAATGTTCCTGTACAATAAGATTCGAGCATTTTGTAATACAGTGAGGAAATTCAAGACCAGTAAATATTGATTGATTAAACAACACTAAATAAAATGTTAGTGTTTTCTTCAAACTCAAGACTCTCTGCTGCAGCTGTACCTTAAAGACAAAACAATTGTCTGATGATCTTTGTTGAACAAGGTCTGATTGTCCTGTACATGTACAATGTGGGGTATTTTTAAATACTTTACTAAACCACATTCAATATTATGTTAGACACAAGTTAGTTATTACTCACATATTCCATCTTTCTGTCTGTCTTTCCATCTGCAAGATGGAAGAATAGCTGGGTGCTGCCTGGAGAGACTGATGAGGGACACAGGCTGGCGTTAGCAGCTTTCCACACAAAACCATCACATCTTCTCTTCCATTCTTCGCTGTCCACTGGTGCTCTGTCAAAAGAGTGAACATCACAGCTGTCACGTTAACCCTTTGTTACACAACATACAACCAACATGTGTCAAAAGTGACCCGAATTAGTTTTAATTGTAAATATCTTTGCAATAAATTACTTTAACCATTCAGGATCCCAGGTATTCCTCAATTAACATGTTTTCGATCAACACCAATTCTAAATTTGTATTTGTCCCTTTCTTACTTTTTGAATAAAAATCATGTTTGTATCACTACACTTCTAAGGCACAACATGGGTCAAACATTACCCGTATTCTTTTGCTATGTTATTTCATGCATGGCTCTTTACTATACATTTTCAAAAATAATTAATTTTAGCAGTGATTTGGACCAAGCATGTATGATGTAGTAATACAAAAAGTATTTTAGTTCACAGTGTGACATTAGCTAGTCATGTTAGCGTGTAATATATAGAGCAGAGCTAACTAGCAAATTAGCCGAACGTTAGCGGTTAGCTGTTTATGCTATGCTAGCTGTTGGCTACTGAACATTAACAAACTAGATTCCGCTGTAAGAAAGCTGTGAAACTTTACATTAAACTTGGCGACAACACTGTGATACCCCACTGCATGTTTATGTGTAATTCTCCCGTGTTGGAGACGAGAGGGTGGGGGGGCGGCACTGCAATAAACTGTAAACTAACGTTAGCAGCCGCATGTTAAGCCGGGTTTCCCGGGCGCAACATCTTGCAAGAAACAGCATCTCAGGGATTCTTAACATTTAACAACCTATTAATTATGCATACCAACTTAACGGGAAGAAACTCAGCTAACTAGAAGAAGAAACGTAACCTTAAATAAAAAATAAAACTAAAAATGTTTTACTTACATTTTACGTTTTTTTTATTTTACGCTTTTCTTACAGTTTTATGTTTACCTTAAAATTACAAAGAACATCTTAAAGTCTTATAATAGTAATACACTTTTATATTACGAGTTACATATTTAATTACAGATAAAAACATTTTATTTTACGTACATCTGCATGTATTTTCTGAAAGTGCAAAAATACTGTAAATATTATATAGTAAATTTACAGTAAAAAAAAGACGAAATAAACGTTATTTGTTGTTATTGTCAAAATACTTCAAATAATGTTTTGGGTTGTTAATTTATAGTTAATATCTGTCATTTTACAGGATTTTGCAAGTTATTTAAAAAAACATGATAATTACTATACAAATTTACAGTTATTTCCTGTAAAATTACGATCTTTTTTTACAGTGTAGTATATGCACTTGTGACACTGCATTTTTGTATTTTCTTTCTCCGTTTTGCACACACAACAATACGGCAGACAGTGCAGGGATGCGCAAAGCCAGAGAGATGCCAAGCAGAATGAGAATGGAAAGGAATACTGCAGGCAAAGGAAGAACAATAGGGGCTTAGGGGAGAGCGGAGCCTGGTGGCGAGGCCCTCTGCAGTGGAAGCAGAATAAAGGAATAAAAGCAACACAACTGACTGAAAAAACAAGGAAACTTAACCCGGAGATGGAGGGTGTTAAAACAATGAAATATCACACGGCCCTGTCCATAGCGGGGCTCGGCAATACTGAATAATGAGGCTCCATACGAGTAAGCCTAATAATATTCTTTTGATAAGGTTATAATCAAGTTGAACAGTCAGTAGTGTGAGCAGCTCTTTATTACTCCAATACTCTCGGTTATATTTTATTTGGCTATTGCAAACCATAGGGTCAATATGACTTCTCTCTCACCTTCACTCTCGGTCTCTTCCCCCGTTCATTCCTGCAAGACTTATTACCCACCATTCTTAAGGCAGCAGGGATTACATGGGTATATAATTTACAGCTTTGACAGGCCAAAGGAATTGTCGTTTGAGCTCCGAGACGAGGTGTCAGGGCTGCAGAATGAGTTGTCTCGGTAATGGACAGATTACACTGTGTGGGCTTGTGTAGGTGCATGCATATACATTTCAGTTTGTCTATGTGTGTGTGTTTCAGCACTATGTATGTGTGTAATGATTCTCCTGACATAGTTGCAATGTATTGATTAGATATATTCAGATTCATGACCCTGCCCCATATTACCAGCAGCAGGGCTCCGCAGTTTAGAACTCCACAGCCTCATTGTCTCCTGTAGAGCAAGACTCCATAAGCAGTAATGGCTGTGTTTTGGCTTCCGCATAACCCACTTTCTTTTAATGATCCTGTTATTAGTGTACTGGCTCAGAGCGTGTGTGTGCATGCAAACATTTACTCAGCTTTGTATTTTTTTTATATAATGGAAGATCGTTTCTATGTGTCTTCTCTATCTTAAACCCTAATACAACATTTTAAAGTGTCAAATATTTTGGTCAAAAGGAAAAATCGGCGATTAGCCTTTTAACAGTTAAAACTATTTTGCTTATCCGCCAACAACCTCAAGACAAAAAAATTGGCTCTAAAAACCAAGATTTACAGTATCACTCTGTCTATCCATCCATTTTCACAGCAAAACATTGTGACAGCAAATCCTTAACAAATCCACGCCTACGCTATCATTTACAAAAGGGACATTGTTCATTGAAGAGACAGTAGATGGCTTTATTTCAAATGTATTAACTGTTTCTCCTACTTCTCTTCCAACTGTCCCTGACCTAAAGTTTCCTTTTGTTCTTTTAATCAGCTTTAAACAGCATAATCCCAGGCCGAATTTCCTGTACCAATGCTGATGATATGATCACAAATGGAAAATTACATGCACTTGAAATGTTGCAACTGGGAAGCAAGAGCAATTATATATTTAGTGACATGCTATGTCTCTGGGAATAATAGAGAAGCTACCCCACTAAAACCCAGTGATGAGTTTAATTAAGTGGAAGATGCTGTTTGATGTCTCTCTGTGGTTCACTCCCACTGTGTCATCTTTTACAGTTGTTATTTGGGACTTTTTTTCTCATCGACCATGTGTCTCTTGTTGCTTTCCCTCCTTTACTCTACATCTTCTGTCTCTTGTGTTCCTCTCCTCTCTATCTCTCACCCCAGGTGGCCCGCAGTTTGATGGCTCCACTGTCACTGGACATCGCGGGGGACCCAGACAGCGACCGTGCATTAGGGAAACAGCGCCTCAGCGTAGCTATTGGTGTCCTGGCGGGGGCCGCGGCGGTCATCCTGGTGATCCTACTTGTAGTCACAGCTCGGCAGTGTGGAGCTCAGGGCAAAAATGGCTACGAGGCCGGTAAGAAGGAGCCAGAGGAGGACTTCTTCAGTCCTCCAGGAGCTCAACCACAGGCTGGCCACAGCAGGGGATCAGACCGGGGACGCAAACCACGTCGGGACAAACGCAACGGAAGTGGCACCAATGTAGCGGTGGGAGGAGGGAAAGCAGACAGATCCCTCTACAGCGGTATTGTTACAGTCAATGGTCTGCGCCGCCATGCAAATGATGACGATGAGGAGGATCTGAGCAGTGCGAGTGAACGCCTCGCAGCACGCTACTGCGCTATGGACGGTGACCCCGGAAGCCCACGGATGAGCGGTGGCATGAGGCACCAGTCGAGCCCAGATCTGGCCAGGCACTACAAATCCAGCTCACCTCTACCTGCAGTGAATCTACAGCCCCACTCCCCCCCAGCTGAAGGAAAGAAGCACCAGGCGGTCCAGGACCTGCCTCCCTCCAACACCTTTGTGGGCAGTGGAGGTTGTGTGGGGAGCGCCGGATCCAGCAGCAGTAGCAGTGGGGGCAGTGGCAACGCAGATGCTATGTCCCTGGGATCTGACCAGTGCTCAGATTACGGCTGCCAGACTGGGAACAAGTACAGCAAACAGGTAGGAGCTCTGGGAAGGGAACTGGGATGACTTTGTCTCAATGGTTTCTCAATTATTTTTTGATGAATAAGGAAGGGAACTCTTTATATCAGTCAGCTCTTTCTAACACTTTGTCCACTTCAACTCCCGATCGATGTCAACTTCTATTACTCCCCGGCCTCCCCTTTTATTATTCACACATTTGCTGACATACTGTACTCAACCGCACACCCCGTTGCGAACGTCTAAACACCATATTATCTCCACAAAATAGCTGACAGAGTATGCCCACACACTCGTGTTTCTGTGTCAGCACCCTAAGCCTGTGAGCAGTGTGACGGTCCCCTGTTGTCAGAGCGTGTGTGTGCTCCGTGTCAAACATCAGCCCAGTTTAGCAAGATCTAATGCAGGGTACATGAGTCAACCCCCCCTATTGCAGCTGTACAATATGTGGATGTGCATTTGTGTACATGCATGACTGTGTGTGCGTGCATTTCACATGCTGTGTGTAAAAACCCCTGAGGAGTTCAGATGGAGTAAGGACACAGAGGGTGTGGGCGAATAGTTGCTTCCCACAGGGTAATTGGTCATTTCATGTTTCTGTTTCCCTTGTCAAGCTGTTATCTGTCTTCCATTTAGTATATATGTTTATTCCGTAAACAATATTAGTTGCACTGATAATGGATGCACTTGCGTTGGTGTTTGCTTCAAGAAAATGCAGTTAAAAGCTGAAGTCCTGCCGGCAAATAAATACCGCATAGAGACGGTCACTCACCCCTCCACCCACATACACACACTAACACACGCAGGAACCATCTATCATCTTAGACACACTGACACAGCAGGGTCTCCCTATTCCGTGGCGAGTGCTCCCACGAGTGATGTTTGAGTGACAGCTAACCCTTCTTAAAGGGGCGGTGTCTCATTTCCTTGACAGACAGCTCTACATTTATCCTCCCTGTGATGAAAAAGTGCTGATGTGGTCATTAAAAAGGAAGGAGAGGAGCTTCTTAGGCTAATCAATTCATACATGGGCTCTCTGATCCTACTCAACACACACACACAGGAACACGCACGCATCTGAACACACACACACACACACTCCGGAGGTTAATCCATTACGGAGTCAATCCTCTTAATCTGCCATTCCCAGGGAAAGAAAATGCTTACTGGGATAGTTTGGTGTTCATGCTTACGTGCAACATGCCAGCACACATACAGAGACACAGCTGACAGCGTAATGAATTATTGATTGTTTGGGGTAATTAACTCCTCTGCTGCAGTGAAGTGTGCCCCCCCCCCCTCCCTAAAAAAAAGTGGTTAATGCCCGCTCTGATTTATGTGTATGTCCGTGCAAGAGTCTTAGACTTTGGGTGCTCGTGCGTGGCTGTGTTCACGTACGTGTCAAAATGTGTTAACTCCAACAGTTTGGCGACATGAGCAGGTTTATGTTGGTGGGTGCCTGTCACCGAGCTTGAGGGACTGCTTATTTCATGATGGCATATGCATTTATGCATTTTATATGTGAGTGCAAGTGAGAGATAGACTCAGGGAGTAATATGTGGCGAGTTTGTGCCAAATGTAGGAACTGGGATGCTGAGAGAATTTGGAATAGCATTAGATCAGGAGTGGGAGAGAATTATTGGAGATGAGGTGGGTAAAAAAAGATGGAGTAAACGAGAAGGGCGGGGCGGCGAGGCGATGCAAACTTCAAGCTCCTTTACTGGGTCACTGAGAACTCCTAACTGTTCATCCCAAGTCAGCATATCATCAGACCAAGTAGGTTACTCCCAGTAGGAACAAATGAATACAAGAAAATAAAACTAGACTTAATGGATGAAAGGAAAGATTGCATTAAAGTGGCTACAGATTAAAAATAAATCTTCAAACAACAGTTTCTATTGAAAAAAAGAGAGGGAGAAGAGAGGGACACAAAAGAATATCCACATCATGGGTACTAATAAATATAAACACGAACAGGAGAAAAGGGGACATGTACTTAAGAGAGGAGCAGAAGAATTGAGTGAAGCATGGGCACCTTCTTTTATTTTCATAGATTAATAATATGATGTATGTTATAGGATCATTGCCTCATTTTTGGTAATAAAATAAGAGCCAATCTCAGTGAGAATTATTGTACTGTATGTTGCGCTGGTCCCCGGTTGAATTGGAAAAGCCAGAAGTGTTACTAAATGAAGAGCCGTTAGGGAGCAGGAGGAGCCGGCTGTTATTGCTGAGCTGAAATGATCTAGCTCACAAAGAATTTTGAAAAAAGAGTTCCGTAAGATTATGTGTGGCATAAAAATAAACATATAGTCTATTAAAACAAAATTAAAATGTTGGTCGTTACCAAAAATATATTGAGGTTGTCCTACTGCTGGTGGAGAAAGAGGAGAAGGTTGGAGTATGTTCTTCCAAGTGGGGAGAGGCAGGGAGTTAGAGAGTGAGATAGAGAGCGGTCTGGTTTGGGTGGCAGCCAGAGAGTGAGAGTGGACCGCTGAGATGTGGGTCATCAGGATACCCGTTGGCATCAGGACACATTAATGATCACAGCAGTCACATGGCACTGCAGTCAATATGGGCAAAGTGGCCTCCTTCTACCATCTAACCACCACCACACACACATAACACACACTCTACCACAGAACAGCTATTCCTGTCTGTTGTCCTCAATCAACAAACAAAGGTCATTGTGGTTGTTTGATCTCCGAATTTGGTGTTACCGTTTTGTAAGTTTGAGCTTTCCTTTCTCTTTAATGGAGTGTTTTAATCAGCACCTTGTTCTGTTTTTTCCTTTTTTACCTTTCAGTTTGACTCTCACCCTTTGTTCCTCTTCTGTCGCTCTCCCACTTTCTTTGCCATATGCGTAGCCATAAACGTTAAACCTCCGAGTCTTCTGTGCGCCTCACTGACCTCTGAGAATGAATCGACTCAGCGTTTTCACTAGTGTGACTTCTTCTTTTACTGTAGTGCGCACTTTCTCTCTCTGGGCCCATCTTGTGTGTGGGGGCGGGTGTGAGCACGGTGCCACAGAGGCTGAATCAAACCAGACACACACACACACACACACACACACACACACACACACACACACACACACCCACACACACACACACACACACACACACTCACACACATCCAAAGTCTAATCGATGCACTGTTAACAAGGCCAAGACTGCAGTAGAAACAGGTGGGTTGACAGCGCAGTTTTTTTGTGCAATGCACAGTTTCACAACGCTTTGTGAAGGTCAGGCTCTCACAACACAGGGTGCCACAGTGATTTTAAAACAGCAAGGACGGGCAGATAACTTTGTGGTAAATAGGACTCATCTGGCCCGTCTTGTCCATCTAATTGGATTGTATGGATAGGCGCTGGCGAAGAGATTAGGACTACTGGATTATAAAATTGAAAAGCAGCTTTTCATTTCAACGAAATCCCTCCAGGATTAAATATGATGAACGTCTGTCATAGACTCACACTCACCCTTCCGTGCAGTCAAGCTCGCAACATGAAAGCATCCACACATACACCTTCTGTGATGTCATTCACTCGGCATTAGGGTCATAGGGATGACGGCACTGTCAACTAGAAACAACAGAAACAGATACTCTCCCTCTCACACACACCCCCCTCCTTCCTTCTCACTGTTACATACGCACACACTGTAATCGACCCGTGACCCCTGTCATGATGATACTAACGCACTGATGTATTTATTAAAAGCCACCTCGAGTTCAGGTCGCACAACCAACCATATGCTCGGGGTAAGTAGGCAATGGGTTGAGGAGGTGGGGGTAAGCGAGAGGTGAGAAGGACGAGGTAACCAAAGCAGGGATCACCCGACGAGCAAGACTGAAAACTGATCTACTGACCTGGAGACAAAGAAGGAGGAGAGAGGGGACAGGGAGGAGGTGAGAGCCAGTGGGCATCATAGAGGGAACATGAGTCAAAGAGAGAGAGGGAGAGGGGTATACTGTAGATGATGAAAGGAGATGAACGAAGGTTCTAATATTACAGGAAGAAAAACACAGATGTGTATTTTTATTAGATGTAAGGCTGTGAAGGTGGAGCGCATGCTTGCTCTTTCCTATTGATTTTCCACTCGACTTGGATCATATTGAAACCTTACAAATAATATGCTGTTTAAAGGTGAAACTACTTCCATTGCTACGAGGTAAAAAGAAAATATATCAAACATTTGGGTTCTGGTATCTCTGTGTTAAATGTAAAGCAAGAGCATGAAATCCCTTTGACTGTTAACTGAACAGTTTTGATGACATCTCGCAGCTTTGCGGATCTGTAAAAAACTAAATAATATATATTCTGGAAATTACAATAAGCTATTTTCAACTTTAAGATTTATTTATCATATTTGGTACAAAAATCTCTCTTCAAAAGTATTTTTAGAACGATCTTTAATAAAAAAATTGGGGGAAAAAAACAATATATCTTTGTTTTTTTTACAAAATAATCTTTGATATATCTATGTAGGTGGGAGAACATTTTATTTCGCAAGTGCTAGGATCAGAAGATGAACAAGTCTTGTCAATCTGTTTAGTAAATCTTCTTACGGTCACATATGTCCAGCGGGAGAATTTGTTAGTCAACATTTTTTAACTGAAAGTGAGATCTCACTTTACTTGTGGTGATATTTTATTTGAACTGCACCAAATACAGAACATTTGAAATCGCCCTTTCTGCAATCAACTTGTTTTAGCCGCATCTAGACGCAACTATTATACCTACATTTCCCTCTGAATAGCTTGTGCAACTGGACTGATTTGTTTATTAGTTCGAGAACACTGTCAGAATCTTTACAATCGCACAGAAGGGGAGCAGCTGAAGGTAGAACTGAGGTGCGACAAAAGACTGCAGCTACTGATTCTGTGGTGAGACACACTGTGCGGAAACTATGTGACAATGTACAAGTTCAGAAGTCCTAGGTTGGAGGAAGATGAGACGTCAAAAATGATATTTTCCTCACTTCAAGGTTTTGGGTGATGACAATAGCAAGATAAAGGCAAGGTGAGGCATGTAGTCATGAGGGCTA